ACATTAAAAAATAAAAATTACAACAAAAAAAAGAAGAAGTGTGCTGGCCCCAAGGAATACAACATTCACAAAAAATGAGGGGCTTGATTTAGTAGGATAGTTTGACACATCAGAGCACATCAATAAGTGTAAAATTATAATCATGAGAAGTGCTATACTAAAGAAGTCACATCTGAAGTGCCTGGCTGCCTCAGTCGGTAGAACATGAGACTCTTTACCTTTGGGTCATGAATTCAAGCCCCACAGTGGGTGTAAAGATAACTAAAAATATAAACCTTTAAAAAAAAAAAAAGTTGTTCTAGGTCACTCAATGTTTTAGAACGAAATTCCTAAATTAACAGCTTAATGAATCCCTTCTGATAACACACTGAAGCACTGGCCACTGTTAATTAGTATTTTTCCTCCTTCAGAATTCCCTCTTGAGCCTTTACTAAAGGAACTCATTTCTGTTGCCCTAGAAAGCCCTGATTGCTCTTTAGTTTCACTACCTCTGTAATGCATTTTTCAACCTAGTACCTGCTTTTGAGGTTAACTCCTAAAACCCAGAAAGCTACCTTTGAATACCTTTCCAATAAACTATCATGAAACCAAATGGCAACATCATTCAAACCAGAATTGTAATACATGAGTACCAATGTCAGGGTTTGAAGAAAATACATAAAAAGCCAAATCACTGCCAAATGTATTAACAGCATGCAGATTTTTTCAGAGTTTGATTAACCGTTAGCTGTACTCTTAACATTATCATGTTCTGCCACGAATGAGAAGAACATGTAACATTGCACTACAGGAGGTGTGAGAAGCAGTTAAACTTGGCAGTGGCAACAGGTACATTGAGAGGGGAATTCTGGCTGCAGAATGGAAGGGGAAGAAGCTTAAGGACTAGGGAAATGTAAAGATGGGTGGCAAAAAGGGAATCCAAAAAGTGAACAGAAATAAAGAACTACTACAAAAAAAAAAAAAAAATTTTTTTTCAGGAGAACAAAAACCCACAAAAAAACCTCCGCTACACCAAGAAAAACTCAAAATCTAAAATAACTTGGCCAGGGGCCACCTGGGTGGCTCAGGAGGTTAAGCATCTGACTCTTGATTTCAGCTCAGGTCACGATCATGGGATTGAGCCCCACATCGGGCTCTGCACTGACAGAGTACAGCCTGCTTGGGATTCCCTTTCTCCCTTTCCCTCTGCCCCTCCCTCTCTCTCTGCACTCATCTCTCAAAATAAATAAACTTAAAAAAAAAAAAAAAAAAAAAAAAAAAAAAAAAAAACTTCACCAGAAAAGAACAGTTGAAAAAAAGACAAGGAAGACATGAAGACTGTGATTCAGAAAACACAGTTTATGATACCCGCCTAACCCCCAAAATTCAAACAGATGCTAATCCAATACCATGTGATACAGGCACACTGCGTAGACCCTTCCCAATTCTACTCCATGCCCCCTCTAGGTCTCTAACACTGATCGCAGAGAAGAAATGAGCACCTGATCCAGCAAGAAAAGTACAGAATGAGAGCAACAAGTATACCAGAATGGACACCAAATTTGGCTTCATGGAAAGATGATGGGCTGCATATACACCTCTAAACTGCCTCTGCCAGTGAAAAAGACACTCAGGACCAAGCACGGATATTCTACATAGAGGACTAAAAAGTGACTACAGATTTTACTAAAATACTGGCTCTATCTTAAACTTACTGGCAAAGAGATCTCTAATACCTTCATTAAGATCCTTAATTTACAGACTCCCAAAAACGCTAGTAGCGGCAATTCAACCTGAACTACTAAAAAAATGCACAACCGTGTTGCATAACATACTTGCATGATGCTATTTGGTCTTCTCTTAAAAGTCCTGAATAGAGCTTTTACAATTTAGCAATTTTCAAAATCCTTTCTATCACTTTACACCTAACAATCTCAGGAAATAACCTACTTAATAATCCTTTTTCCACAGATGATCTATGGCTGACACTCAGAAAGTTACGCTAACCTCCCTCTGAGAAATATAGGTCAGTTTAACTAAGCTTCCTCTCCATCCTCATCTTAACAGTCCCTCCTTCACTCACTCACTAGGCTCTAGCCACACTTGCTTCCTTCCTATTCTGGAATTACACTATTATGGAGGATTGTGATCTTCTCTAAAGACAGGCTCTATGGGGTGCCTGGGTGGCTCAGCATCCAACTCTTGATTTCAGCTCAGGTCATGATCTCACAGTTCATGGAGCCTGCTTGGGATTCTCTCTCTCTCTCTCTCTCTCTCTCTCTCTCAAAAATAAATAAAATTTAAATAAACAAATAATAAAGAGAGGTTCTATCTAATTTAACTATGTATTCCTAGGATCTAGTACTTAGGAAGTCGATAAATAAATAGGGAAGAGCACAAAAACAGGCACTCAGATCAACAGAGAACCCAGAAATGGACCCACAAACACATGGACAACTAGTCTTTGACAAAGCAGGAAAGACTATCCAATGGAATAAAGACAGTCTCCTCAGCAAATGGTGCTGGGAAAACTGGACAGCGACATGCAGAAGAATGAACCTGAACCACTTTCTTACACCAGACACAAAAATAAACTGAAAATGGATGAAAGACCTAAATGTAAGACAGAAGCCATCAAAATCCTCCAGGAGAAAGCAGGCAAAAACCTCTCTGACCTTGACCACAACAACTTCTTACTCAACATGTCTCTGGAGGCAAGGGAAACAAAAACAAAAATGAACTACTGGGACCTCATCAAAATAAAAAATTTTCTGCACAGCAAAGGAAACAATCAGCAAAACTAAAAGACAACCGACAGAATAGGAGAAGATATTTGCAAACAATATATCAGATAAAGGACTAGTATCTAAAACCTATAAAGAATTTATCAAACTCAACACCCAAAAAACAAACAGTGCAGTGAAGAAATGGGTGAAAGACATAAATGGACACTTCTCCAAAGAAGACATCCACATGGCCAACCAACACATGAAAAAGCTCAATATCACTCATTATCAGTGAACTACAAATCAAAACCACAAAGAGATACCACCTCACACCTGTCAGAATGGCTAACATTAACAAGTCAGGCAACAACAGATGTTGGCAAGGATGCAGAGAAAGAGGATCTCTTTTGCTCTGCTGGTGGGAATGCATACTGGTGCAGCCACTCTGGAAAACAGTATGGAGGCT